GAGATTACGATATCGGATTTGCAGAAACTCGGGCCCTCATTTCAGCATCATCGGGAGTGCCCTGCGTTTTGGAACAGCATTCGGCCCCAAACGCAGCTTGCATCGTTCAAAGCGCGTTCTTAGCAGTATTTACAGCGTTTTCCTGTGTGTTTCTCACGCCCCGGGGCCAGCATCATGAGCATCAGTTGCTCCCCTTGGGCAGAAGACGGGCCTCTCGTATACACGTCTTGTCGCAGTGATTTCGCACATCTTTTCGGCCGTGCACAGCCGGTCCAGCTGATGCTCATGATGCGCCCCCCCCAGGGCCAGCATCATGAGCATCAGCTGTTCCCCTTCTTCTCTTGCGTCCCCCCGTTTCAGCATCATCGGGAGTTTTCCGCATTTTTGGGACAGCATTCGGCCCCAAACGTAGCTTGCATCGCTCAAAGCGCGTTCTTAGCAGTATTTACAGCGTTTTCCTGTGTGTTTCTCACGCCCCTCGGGCCAGCATCATGAGCATCAGCTGCTCCCCTTGGGCGTCTTGTCGCAGTCGTTTCTCGCGTTGTTTCGGCCGGGGGACCAACATCACGAGCATCAGCTGCTCCCCTTGGGTCCCCATGGGCGTTCCGGCTAGGCCACCCGTGCCGCCCCATGTGCTGCATGCCTGGCCCCGCGCTTTCCGTTTTATCCAGCTGGTTTGCAGAGGGAAGCTTATTTCAGAGGTCCGAGAAGCATATTCGGATGCCCGAGCCCATGGAAGTGATACCAAAGCTGTTCTTTTCCATTATCCCTTTGCTAACCCTTGTAAATCCCTGTAAGGGACCCTCTTTAGGATTTAGGGCCTAGGGTTAGCAGTGCAGGACATGTCACCTTAAAGTGCTAACGATTAGCACTTTAAGGCGACATGTCTTGCAGCAGTTCCGTGGGTACATTGGGCATCCAGCCAGCATCCAGCCTTCATTAATCCACGAGATTGCTCAGGTTGGCCAATTCGCCATAAAGTCCCAAACCCCAAGTACCAACACCCCTGCATAAAACCCACCCTTACAGTAGTTGCCATTTTATGTTCCATCATCCCAATATAGCCCTTAATATACTAAAATATACTACAGAAGTTCTAAGCTCTAAGCTCTAAACCCCTGAAACCATGTCCTTGCAGAGGGCCCGCCGGGAAAGGAGCTCATTGTTGGCACCCTGGCCACGCACTGGTTGTGGCTTTGCCAGGCCCTGTTACCACATGGGTGGTTGTCAAAATTGTGGTCCCTTTTGGGATCCCTATTATGATACGGCACCTAATATTTAGGGTACCCAAAAAGGGACCATAATTTTGACAACCACCCACATGCTAGTAGAAAACGGCGCTTCTGCCATTTGGCAGATGGTGTAGCTTGGTTTCTTCTTTCGTTGCAGACAGGAGTTCCAGGCAAAGATTTTCTTTGTCATCGCTGGAAAGACAGAGTCTGAGAAGCTTGAACCGATGGGGGAACCATTATTCGCGTAGCAAATCCTTGTTGCACACGTTCCAGCTATAATCTGCAGCCCCCGACAAAAGGCCACTGGGTGTTCAGCAGCATGTGCACTTATCCAGAAGGTTTCTTATCAGCCTTCAACACACTATAGGGGGGCATCTTCCCAAACCCGTGACAAAGAACATGCCCTACAATGCAGGAGCAGCTTCTAAAGCCTTGACCCAAGAAGGAGTCCTACGGACATTGCCCTTCCTCCCTATGCCTTGTCATGACTGACCTCGTTGCGACACTTAATATGAGCTATAGTCTCAACTCCTAATATCCCCCTTGAATAAGGCGTATAATAAATGGAGGTTTCCAAAAATTAGGGGTCCCTTTCTGGAGGTCCCTATAATAAGGACTTTAGTATTTTGGGGTCTAGATTCGGGTCCCGCTATTTTGGGAAACTACCAAATAAATCCCTATGTATGCAAGAGATTCACATCACGAGCCACTTCCCCCAAAGGTCACGGGAGACTCGTGGATAAAGCCAGTAGATCTGCATCACTTGTTTTGGCGCTCAACATTGCATCAGGGGTTACCCTTTGAAGGGACATAGGGATTATGTAGGGATTAGGGTTTAGGGAAGACTTCCAGGCACCAACCAGGAGTGCAGCATTGCACTGGCTGCTGCGCAGTGTGGAAGGAAGCAGCAATAGTAATTGTAACCTCAGTTAGCAGCAGAGCAGCAGACAGACAGAGTGTCACCATAGTGGTAGCCAAAAATTCACCAGATAAAGAAGCGCGCTAACCCACCTATACTAACCCTAAACCCAGTTACTGTATATCTGTCAACCAGCGGGCAGTGTAAGGCAACCTCCCAGATGACGCTCAAGAGGACGAGCTGCGTTTGCTTTTCGAACCAATTGGGCCTCTCCCTGAGGCCACTTGACGTGTTTGTCTCCGAAGGGTTGCAGGAACTGGCTTGCGTTCTGGCATCCGGTGTGCTTGAGAGCAACACCCCCTGGTCTGAGCTTTTTGAGGGGACCTCTAACGAGGCGCCCTTTATACTTCTTGCAATGGCCTGGCATGGAGGGTGGTTCAGGGGCCAGAGCATCGCATCAGGGTCCTACATGAGCGTGCGCCGTGCGCGGCCCTGGGTCCAAAATCATGCCACTTCCATGCCGCTGAGCTGATGGAGTGCAGGTGCACAGCCCAACGTTCATTCCTTTGCAATCCTATACCAGGTTTCTTGTATTCGGCACGGGCTCAAGTGTGTCATGGTTAGACAGGCGAAGAGGCACAAGTGTCAATGCATTCCACGGTTGAGGACTGAATAAGATCTGGCCAAGGCAGGTAGTGGACCCAACCTCGAATTGAACCTTGCAGTAGTTTGAACAATACCAACAATTGCTCTGGCAGCCGAACTTGTGCTAGTGTTGGAAAAGTCTGCAGATATCACAAGTGGACCCGCGGCAAGTACTGCCCGCTCCCTCACATTTGCTTGTGGGCAACCTTGTCCTTGGTGAGGCAGGAAGTACAATACTGAGCCAAGGTGGAAGTGCTCCGGGAGAATGGGGAGACACGCGGGCGGCTCGTTTATCTGCAAGCTGCAGACGCAGGGACGGCGCTTGAATCTTGGCTTGCCATTCCTTCAGGGCCTGTCTAGAGGCATGCAGGGCCTGTGCCGGCCAACCTGCTCAACTGTGCTGCTGCTGCGCTTTTGATGAAGGAGCGTCTTCAAAAGGCGGACTTTCGCGGAAGGCCGCTGAAAGTCTGCCGACCGAGAAGCCCATCGCCGATCAGGAAGTCTAGGCAGGCCAGGAGACGGAATACGTCCAGACCTCACCCAGCACAGCAGAGGTTGCTTTCTTGCCTTGCTCCCCTGCCAGTTCGTAAGGCGGCCACACCTCTTCGTTGGGAATCTGGCAGAGGAGGTTGACGAGCAGACGCTCCGTGAGACCATGGAAGCAGTTGGGGAAGTGCAGCTCAGCTGCAAATGCAACAGCGCATCGGCCACTTTGCCGTCCAGCTGCTGCACTTTGTTGACCAGCCTGGGCGTGATGCGCACCTGTTGTTCAGGTCCCATGTGCGATTGGTCCGCGACAAAAACGGCAAGTCGAAGGGCTGTGGCTTTGTAGATCCTCAGCTGCGTCAAAGAGTTGCTTGAATTTTCAGAGCTCGCCCCCGAACGCAACACCAATTTGTCCCCTATACATCCCCATATAACCCTATTCTACTATAGTAGTGTCCATTTTCGTTTCCATTATCCCCAATATAACCCAATGAGGAATATGCAGATCCGAGCTGTGTCGACGATGCGCTGGAGACGCTGAAGGACGTCATGTGTCGAGATCGCCCGATGAACGTGCGGAGGCCTTGCACAAACTGGCATACACAAACTTTCTTGTCTGCTTTGTTGGGTGGCGGTTAACTGGGCATTTCCAATTGGGGTCCGCCTAACACATTTTCAAAAATTAGCATGCTTACCAGCGCAACCCCACAACAAAGAAAGGGATCCCCAATTTGGAGGAATGCCCAAGTCCCAAGTCAGAACATCACAGAACGACTGAAAGGGATCATAAGTGAAATTAGACTTCAGGTACCGTTCGCGTTCGCCATCTCCAGCTGGCCGCAAGAGGACCTTGGCCAAGTTCTTCGAGGGTCATGGCTTAGGAGTTTTTCAGAACTATTCAGAACAATGAGTTCATTTGGGGAAGTCATCCAAGTACTGCTAGTAGGAAAGGGCACGAGAAGCTCAGAGTTGCGCGTGTACCCGCGAAAGGCCACCAAAGGAATTGTGCCGGGGTGGCTGAGGGCAAAGAGCAAAGGGTTCCTACCGCTGAATGATTTTTTGACTACACGTGGAGCAGAGAAAAAGCTAATCAGGAAGCAAGGAAGCAATCCTTTCCCACCAACATCTGGAGTGCGCTGAAGTCTTGTCCATGTTCCTGTCAATTAGGTTGACGAAGCGTCTTGTGCGAGAATCGCATGCTTGTCGTGCGAAGCGAACTCACAGATTCATGCTGCGCTGCGTTCTGTAAGCTGCTCATCCACATTCAATGCGATTGTCTGTTGCTGTTCCTCAATCCGCACACAACCTACTGGTGCTTCAGGAGGAGTGGGGGAGTGAATGTAGGTACCACCACACGGGTGTAGATGAGGATTATATGGGGATTATTCTTGGAATCCACTCCCGACTCAAGCACCAGTAAGACAGCGAGTTGTGGTTACGCCGGCTGGGCTGTGCTTCAAATGGGATTTAGCCCCAATCCAACCATTTATACAGTCTAGGGCGCAAGTTAGACAGGCAAGTAGTAGATGTGACGCGCACCACTTGGCGCGAGCGTTTTCCATTACTGCTTACTCCCCCACACTGCTTTTAGCGCTCAAATTTCATGAGTACTACTTCCACAGGCGGGGACATATTCCACCTGAACAAAGGCGACTTTTTTGATACGTTTGGGTTGGTGCTTGTTCTTGTTTCATGTTACCCAGGCGCTTGATTCAATCTGTTGCAGACACCCAGGTCCGAACCAACAACATGATGCACTGCCTTCCCAAGTCCAGCTCTAAACCCTAAACCCCAAATAGTAGTTTCCATTTTCTTTTCCACTGTCCCAACATAACCCCAATATATACCCTATAATCCCTATATAGCCCCTGTAATCCCTATAGTTTCCAGAGTACCCCCATATCCAACCTATACCATAATTAATATACCTCACGCGCAGCGTCAGTTTTTCTGTGGAAAGCCTGAAGCTGTTTTTTTTTGTTCTTCCGTTCCTGTCGCGCATCAGCATCAGCATCAGCATTGCAAGTTATTGTTTCGGTGACCCTCCCACGCTGTAACAGTGGTATAGTGGGAATTTAAGAGGGCCCTGATATAATCACCAGTATCCCCTGTAGGTACTATTCCTGGGTGGGGGGTCCACCTAAGTTATTGTTCTTGTCGTGGTGGTGGTGGTGGTGGTGGTGGTGGTGGTGGTGGTGGTGGTGGTGGTGGTGGTGGTGGTGGTGGTGGCCGTCAAGCAATGACATGCTCACAAAGTTTGTCAGACCTTCTTTTGGGTTGCTGTAGAGGGTCGTAAACTAAGTTACCATAATGGGTATGTGTATATATATATGTATAGTAATTAATATTGTTTCCCCAACTTTGGGAAACTACCATCTTGGATTGTACATTGGCCCCCCAATTCATGGCAACCCCTATTTGGTGCTCTGAATCCTCAAACCTAAAACCTGAGTACCTATTTGAACTATACTTTAAATTCCTTAAAGGGAGTGATACAGGGAATTATATAGGGGAATACTATAGGGTTATTAAGGGTAATACTAGGGGTTTAGACTGTAGCTCATTTGATGTTCTGTAGGAATCAGCCTAGCAGTTGATTCCATCAGGAGCCGGTCACGCTCGCCCAGAAACTCGGTTCCAGAGCCTGCTACGCCGCCGGTATGGAGGTGGGTAGGGCGGGGAGCCATATGAGCTATATAGTCCCTTTGAAGTAGATAGAATATGGGATATACCGGGATCTTATTATACTATATCCAAAGCAATATTCCATTTACTTAAGCGGGACCATAGTCTAAACTCCTGAAAGGGAGTTATAGACGGGAGCGTTATAGGAGTTATTAAGGGGCGATACTAGGAGTTTAGACTACGGCTCATTTGCTAAGCTCATGTTGCCTTTTGTGTTTGCCTGTTGTGTACCTTCTACAATAAGTGCAGTACTATAATTGACTTTGAAAAATGGACTGGAACTGTGACGACCTACCATTTTCATGGGCAAGGCATTGCTCAAGAACCGAATTATTATGGAGGGCCCCGGCTTCAAATATTTGAAACGCAGCGAGAATGAGCACTTAGCTACAGATTCGGGGATGTTTGAGTGAAATAGACGAGCCAGTACTGGCAGCATGTTCTGTGACAAACGGAGTTTTGTTTGTGATGAGGCCTCCGGCAGTTGTGCCTTCATACCTCATGCCTCCAGTGATGCCTGCACCGCCGTCTCTGCTGCCTCCTCCACGGTTCTCAGCTCAGAGTCTGTCGCGGGTTTCCCAAAGTTAGGGGTACCTTTTGGGGGGTCCCCATGATCAGCATTATAGTCTTATGGGGACTATGTTGGGGTTCATGGGAACTGTCATGTAACACCTCGGTCAACTGGTGCGCCTGTGGAGCCTAGGCCCACCTCCATCGCCGCGCCTTCAGCCTCAAGACCAACAGCGAGACCGACGTGCGCAGCCCACATACGCGACAACGCAGAGGCTAGGAATAGGGGTTTAGGGTTTAGGGGCTTCGGGTATGCCATAGTGCTGTAATACCTAGGGCAAGGCGTAAATCTGATGTGGCTATTTTTGGTCTAGGCGGATTACAGGGAGTCGCCTTGCGGGTTCAGTTTTCCAACTTTGGATGCGGAGCATACGAAACTCTGGCCTTTGGTTAGCTAGGCATGAAGGAATGGATCCTTACAGTAGTCCCTAGATAACCCATTGTGGTGGTTTCCATTGTCCTTTCCGTTCCTTCTAAACCCTAAACCCTACATAACCCATGATTGTAGTTTACATTTTCTTTTCCATTCCTTCATTCCCAGAAAACCAGAGGTAAGTAATTCCCCTGTATACCTCCAGTTTCCAACTCATTGCCCATTTTCTTTTTTATCTGATTCTCCTTTATGGGAGGGGGGGTTAACCCCCCCTAAACCCTAAACCCTAGACCCTAAACCCTACACCAGCCAAATGCCAGAACTTCGCTGGCTCAGGCTTCGCGGTCTCGTAGCCGGTCGCGGCTTCCACATCCAAGGAGCCCAGCGGCAAGCCCCTCAGTTTCGTGTTTGCTTTTGCGATCTGCTATTTGCGTAAGAGGCTATGTTAAAAAAGGTTGCCACAACTGCTGAGGATGAGCCTGAAGCTTGGCAAGATGAGAACGAAACTTGGCAAGATGAGACGGAAACTTGGCAAGACGATAGGGAGACGTGGCAAGACGATAGGGAAGCGTGGCAAGACGATAGGGAAGCTTGGCAAGATGATCGGCCACCTTGGCGCGATGACAAGGAAGCTTGGCGAGAGTAGCAAAATGGCCTGCTGAGCGCGGAAGTGGATAAGAGCATGGGTTTCTGTAGCAAAGCAGAGCACTCCTGCCCAAAAACAGTGTGAATGAACTATTTTCTCTTTGCTAAGTCAACACATTCTGTCAACAGACGCTTCAGGAGGGCTTCTCAAAGGCGCCTGGGAAGCGTTGCCTAACAGCCCGTGACCAAATTGTTGGGCTATGTTTGTAAACCCTGTGCTGCCAGGACTTGCGTCATGCCTCTGTACGTCAGAAGTGCCGGCAAGTACGGGACTCCGGCGTAATTATCGTAACGGCCGGCCTTCCGAGCCCTGGACCCACATAGCGTGGTGCTTGTGTGGTCTGAAACATCTTGGCGACGTCATGCGAGACCCCAAACAACTGACAAAACATTTTTCGAGCTCGCAGCACCAAATTCCAGGAAGTCTGACAGAATTCCCACAAACCACGTTGGAGGGAGTCCCATAACACCATTAGGAGAGCGAGCTGACGGCTGTGCATGCTGGCGACATTCTTGTAAAAGAATTTCCGGACGAATCTCATAGCAAGCATTGATGACATCCTGTCGCAAAATGCACCAGATCCTCACCGAATTGATTTTGAGCGAGCCACAAGCGGCACTAGCGTGCGGAATGAACCAAAGTCCTGGCGCTGCCTAAGATTCCAACCGCCGAAGAAGAAGCCGCTGCCATACCCCTTGCACGTCAAGGCGGCAAGTGCATTTAAACAAAAAAGCTTAAGGAAAACCTGGCCCATAACAATGGGCATCCTCATGAAGATTGGCTGGCAATTTGCAGTTGCTTTACCAAGCCCCACAAGAGTCCCACCAGCCAACCAATTGCAGAGAGCATGCGGCACATTTGCATCAGCCAAGATTTGAAGGAAGTTCCGCAGAAGGGCGAATCTGGAGAGTTACCGATCAATCCCTTTAAAAGGTTTGCCCGGAGGCCATCAGGTCTGGGTCCTGCCCCAATGGAAAAAGAATGGAGAGCTTTCAATATGGCTCTGTAGGCACGACATGTCAGTGCCTGGCGATAGCGCCATGCGCAATAAAGTGCTTGTGAGATACACTGGAAATTTTGCGAAGAGCTTCGAAGGAACCTTCTGACAAAAGTAAGCCGCTTCAAGGCCTGACTCGCGCGGGCGGGATCAAATCCACGTCCCGCTTACTGGCATCCATGACTGCTTCATCCCACATGCTACGGCACTCCACAGGACGCCATCTTGAGAGAGGAGCCTTCCCGAAGCCATACTCCTCCCACAACATCAGCCACAGTTCGGGCAGTCTACAGTAATGTTGCACTCTGTTCAATCTTAAGGGCCCCCCCCACAAACAATAGGGGTCACCGAAAAATGAAAACAGGACGTCCTTAACAAGGACCAAAAATCTCTGGCTGAAATAGTAAGGGTCTGCTGAGTAAGTTATCAAGGGATCCTGATGGCTCTGGTGATTATCGAACTAAGGACAACTCAGGGCCTGGTGAGTAAATTCTAAAGGGATCCTGATGGCTCTGGTTCTGGTGATTATTGAGGATAACTCAGGGCCTGGTAAGTAAATTATGAAGGAGTCTAAGGGCTCTGGGGAATCTCCATATAAAGAATTGCCTCTGTTATTTGAATAAGAATTTTTTAAGGCCCTGGAGGTGCCAGATTAAAGAAGGTCCCCAAAGAACGGTGCTTATTCAGGGTCAGGGGATCTGCTGGACCTCTGTGGCGGCTGAGCCAAGAAAGGT